TAGTTAGTTAGAATTTTTAAAATGTATTATCTATTACTAGTTTATCTAATTTCATGTTAGATTTATTTAATTGGATTTAGTAATTATATATTATATCTCTCTCTATATATATATATATCTAGAGAGAGATTCTATATGTGTATACATATGTACTTAATTATTTCTATATGTATATATACATGTACTTATTTTCATAAGTTGAGAGAGAGAGAAAATTGCATCTAGAGAGACATTCTATGTGTTATCACATGCATATCTAGAGATATAGACATATGCACTTATTTCTATGTGTTGAGAGAGAGAGAAAATATATTGTATCATTCTATGTGTATATATATACATGTACTTATTTCCATGTTTTTGGATCGAAAGTGTTTTTGATTCGATTCCAAAGCCTATACCTTATTATTGTTTATCCTTATGAAATATTATGTGTTATTATATTTAATTGGATTTAGTAATTCTATATGTGTTATCACATGTACTTATGTTATGTACCATAGTAATTCTATCTATGTGTTATCTTGAAGATACAAATGGTTGCTCGGATGATAACTTGAGTGATGACATAATGGCGGATATTATCAACGCAAGCACCAATGTGGATGTAGATGACACGAGTCGAAGATTTTGCTGATTATGAGGATATCCTGAATATGCCGGTGGTTGAAGATCAATAAATTGTCGCGCTAGAAAATCTTGGCGAGGTATATTCGATTATCTATCATCTCTTATAGATGCATGCGTGCGTATATTTGTTGTTAATCGTTGTGTTTCTACTCATGTAGCCGGTCTCCGGATCTACATCAACCACCGACAAAAGTAGGAAAGTCCGAGGGCCAAAAAAGCCATTAGAGGGCCGTTTCATAATATCGAAATTCGACACCGACCGGCAAACCATTGGGACCACATGCTCGGACATATGTCAATCAATGTGGGTTCATTGTAAGGATAGGATCCCATTAGTGCTCGTGAATGGAAGCGAAAGATATCCGCTCCTAATGTTAGTTTTGTATCGATCGTGATAAGAACCTAGCTTGGAGAGATATCACTCAAGATTTTTCACATTACAAGCGGATGATGCTTTGAAGGAGCTAGTGAGGATTGGACAATGAAGAAGATGGCAACATTGTTCCAGAGTTGGAAGAAGACATTGTATAAAAAAGTTTATCTTGAAGAATGCTACGCCCGAATTTCAATGCTAAGGCGTTTGTCAAGTTGAGTCCCATTGGGATGCCTTCGTAGAATACAAGACATCTCAAGACAAGTGAGGAACGTGTGATGAGGAATCGGCGAGAATGCCCGATGCGAAATACCATCATCGCATGGGATCGGTGGTTATAGGAGTGCTATTCCCAAGTGGCGTAACCTAGAAGCGAGATTACCGCCAAGGAATCATACGAAACAATAGAAAAGAACTGGCCTCAACGCTGCGAAGAATTGGTTCTCGCTCATGGGGAAGCCTAGACCCGAACAACGGCAAGCTAATTTTCGCCAAAAATTGAGAGAGCAACACGAGACTAGCTCGTGCTAGGGAAGAAGTTTATAGTGGTGTTTTCAAGCCCAACAGAGAGAAGGATGAATTGACATATGCCCTAGAGAATCCCGAACACGGTGGTCAAACAAGAGGCTATGGGCGGTTCCATGGCTACACGCATTCCCAGCAGACAAGGATACCTACAGAAGCCGCCAGAGAAAGAAGGATGAGGAGGCAGAATGAATTCGTGCATTGGAGCAATTTGTTGATGAGTCACGACAAGCATTGCTTGAATCACGTGAACGAGAAAAATCTCTTGAGGCAAGAATGCGGGGAGGAGATCAAGAGGCAAGTGCAGCTAGCAATGAGTCAAATGCAATCGCAATCAACGCCAGAGTCACCATTAGCCCGTTGGTCGATGAAAAGCGGTTGTGCTTCTACGAGCTGCCAGCTATTCAAGACGACGCTGGGTTGCGCTTCCTGTTGATGACATTACCGAGCCTCTAACAAAATGTGAGCTGCACATTCCGGATGGTAATGCATCAATCATGGTGGTATTATCGGGGTTGTATCTCCAATAGACCGAACGAAGACACCAAGAATCCATGGGTCAATTATTCAACTTTGGATATGCTAGCGTCTCGATCGATAGAGTGCTCAAAGGTTACAACAATGTTCCTCTTGACATTGAAAGCGGTGATGGGGAGAAGACACTAGGAGAAACAGAGAAGACATTTATTCAATGGCGCAAACGCTTCATCATCATTCTGGGCGCCACCGCTTCCCCTACCTCACCCTAGGTACGAATGAAAGTGAATGAAATATTATTTTCCATTAATTTTCTATTAGCTTAAAAATAATTGACACACAAATTGTTTTTATAGCAGGTCTCTCCCACCTAGCCTAATCATTCATTCCCCATCTCATCACAGTGTCATGGGGCGAGACGACTTCATCCCCACGGCGATCGCCAACTCCTACACCGCCCCATCGCCTCCTAACGATCTCCAACTCCTACACCGCCCCACCGCCTCCACAACGATCTCCAACATCTCCACGCCGGTCTCCACCAACACCGCCTCATCGCCTCCACGCCGATCTCCAACACCGCCCCACCCCCTCCACAATGACGCTTTTCAAAGACGTCTAAGATCCCGTGACAAAGAAGACCCCGAAAAAGAGTTATTTCTCAAGAAATACTTCACGAAAAAAGCCGATGAGCAAATAGCAATGAAGAAGACAAAAAAGTAAAAGATTTTTTATAGATATCAAAAACAAGAGTCAAGCAAAGCTTAAGAAGAAGCCGTACTTTTACATACCACGAGATGTGCTGAGGCAGAAGGTCGATGCTCACAAGAAAAAGATGATTGAACTTCGTAAGCCTTCGCCACTATCGGACTATGATCGCTCCCTCGTAAAGTCACATGATGCGAGATAAGAAAAGGAAAAGAGCATCGGGGAAGGATGTCCCACACTCGGACAATGAAACAACCAATGCAAAATCTTGTTGTTGCTAATGAATATGGTTCCAACATAGAAGTCTATCGACCGAGACAACTCGGAGAAGTGTCGGTTCAAGCCCTTAATGCTTTTTTAAAGATCTTGGTTTAACCTTGGATAAATTGACGGGCCAAAGCTCCAATCCGAACACGGAAGTTGATACACGGAAGACTTATAAATATGGCAAAAAATCTGTACAACCCTGCGACTCTGAATGAATTGGAGTGCATAAAATGTACTTGCTCAACAAGTGGTACATGCAGGCGTGTGGCAGGGGTGAGCAGTGGATCTTTGTCAGATTTAGAGACCATCATTACTTCCGTGGCGATGACATCTTACATATTAGTTTCGAAGAATTGCATCAGTTATTCCACTTGGACGCTCTGGACAAATCAATCATTAGCTCCTTTTGTTTGTAAGTGATTCTTACTTTTATTTAATAAACTCACTTCCATGCGTGCGTGTATATAATTATCCTCACATGTAACTTATATTTATACAGATTCCAGATGTCAGAGCTCCAAAGAATACAAGACACCAGTGTTGGCTTCATTGATCCTTATATCGTATTCAAAACCGGTATTATTATCAAGGAGCGATGGGTATCTGGAGCACAGGAGAATATCATGATGTTCTTCATGAAGCAGCACGACAAGACAACAATACTTTTCCGTACAACTTTGAGTAAGTGTTAATAATAATGTAGTCTACACATTTTATGTAATATCAATACAACTTATATGCATATACGTGTGTGTATAAACCAATGCGCTTTTCATTTGGATACTCATTGTCATTGAGTTAAACTCAAGTCGGTTACTAATCTTTGACTCGTTGAGAAAAGAACGGGCACTATACCAAGATATGATAGACATTATCCAGGGGTAATTTCGATCTCTCGCGCACAACTATTATTGAATAGACTTTGCCATAATTTATTAACGATCGTACATTATTGGTCATACGTGGTTTGGAAAGAGTTTATTCGGCAACATCGCAAGGATTGCAAGGCACCACTTAATGTAGTTGAAATACCAAAGAAAGTTGTACTATATACACTTCCCCACGTGTTTAATTACTATATCGTACTTCAATTTACGTGTGAGATGATGAGAATAATCTTCTTCTCGTAAATGCGGTGGTGTTTATGCGGCGAGACGGTAATAATAACTTGTGTGGATACTACGTTTGTGAATTTATCATCACACATATAAGAAGAACTCCTGAAGATGTCCTCGAGTACGTATATATCAATTTTTATTTATTTTTAAATGAATATATATACATATATGTGTATTAATACTTTTCCTTTTATTTCAAATGCAAGACTGAATGGTTGAAACGAAGGGTCATGCAAAAAAGACCATCTCAAGCAGTTCAAGAGTCAATAGCGGGATATCTTCTAGAAAAAGTGCTAAATCCCAACGGCGAGTTCTACTTTGATCTTAAGGAATAAATGATGTAAATTAAATGTTTATTGATATCGTTATTTTTCGAGAACAAGATTATGAAAGTGTTGTATATATACATATATATATATATATATATCTATAATATATATAGTTTCATACTTTATTCGAATATAATAATGCTCAAGATGAGAATTAGATGTAATTATATGCATACGTGTATATTTATATTAGCAACGTAGAATACGTATATAAAAACATATTATATATTAAACAAATACGTAAACTGAACTGAAAACAAATTAAACAAAAAAAAAAAAAAGAAAAAAAACCTTTAGTCCCGGTTGGGGTTACCAACCGGGACTAAAAAGTGAACTCATTAGTCCCGGTTGGTAACACCAACCGGGACTAAAAATCTTGCCAGGTTCGCTCGGCTGGAGGGCCTTTAGTCTGGTTGGTGTTACCAACCGGGACTAAAGGTCCCTCTTTAATCCCGGCTCGATGACCCGGGACTGAAGGTTCCACCTTTAGTCCCGGGATCGTTGTCCCGGCGCGGTAACCGGGACTAAATGCTGTTACCGCCCGGGACAACAAGTCCATTCTGTAGTAGTGACTCCGACTCCGGCACATCGCCGCCGTGATCGTCCACCAAGATCTCGGAGCAGTCATTGAAGGGGCAGTAGCAAAAGTTGCCGGCCCCCTCCACCATAGACCTGCACAGTGCGGCGCACAGGGCCTCGAAAGCCTCGCCGGATATGATGCCTTGCAAGAGTTCGGGGTCAAGGACGTTGCAGCAGTCCTCCCCGTCCCCCGGACACTTGACGTTGGAGATGCGGCCGCCTTGGGTCTTTGCACTGATGTAGCCGGAGAGGCAGGCTGTGCAGAAGGCGTGTGCGCAGCCGCGACTTGAGTGGTGCACGTGCGACGGTGGCACGTAGTCCAGGCATATCTTGCAAGTTGCCACCGCAGTTGCGTCGTCTTCCCCGGTGGCAGGGGCTGCAACTGCAAGAGGTGGCGGAGGCGAGGAGGAGGAGGAGGAGGAGCAGCTATACTCAGCTACGGCAAGCACGGGCGTCTCAGCAGCTGCTGTGTCATTGTTGGCAGTGTGCACGACGACGGCGCTATCAAGCTGCGGCCTGAGCGATGATTGTGCTGCAGTCGCTGCCATGCCAGAATTAACAATCACCGCCATGGCGGAGGAAACAATCACCTCTTGGAGCTGGAGTTCCGCGGCGTACTCCTCGTCGGATATCGCCATGAGCCCGATGGCGTCTGCTTGGTTGTTTATTCCTTGGCAAACTGCTATCAAGTACAGGTCGTCGGCAACCATGAGGTCAGCATCGTCGCCAAAGGAAGAAGTGGCAGCCATCGATCAACTTGTCAGCTTTGTGGGAGAAGAGGACGGCTACCTCTGGAACGAAGCTGTTTTCTGGTCTCCAGAATGGATGGACCCATCTATATGTAGAGCAACAAAAACGTACGGTAACATAGCTGCTGGACTTAAGAGCCTCTTTCATGCCAGGACTAATTGTTAGTCACCTAAAAATTAGTAGTAGGCCATCCAAACAGAGGCACTAATGAGTGAACTAATTTTTAGTCCACACACCATACCTCAATTAACAACTAGTAGTCCATTAGTTGGCCATATCTAGCTAATAGGACTAAAAGGAGCCACTGGATTGAGAAATGGCATCACTGCCCTCCCCCTACGCTATCTCCCCCTTTTCTCTCTCCTCTCCCAGGAGCATAAGAGTCTTTGTCTAGGAATACTACTAGCTACTAGTCAATGTATCCAAACAGTATAGGACTAAACTTTGGTCATCTAACAATTAGTTCTAACAAGTAGTGGATTAACAACTAGTGCTAGGTGATCCAAACATGCTGTTAGAACTTTAGAGTGTATCATAACTTGATGACAACCTTATGTTTTTTTACCCCCTCCCACCCCCAGCCACACACACATTATCACATGCGCACACCACCACTAGATGCATATACACACTCACACCTATGAATATCTATGGTTATTGAGTTGCATCTATCGATGAGTTCAACTTAAAAGTTTAAGTTGATAGTGAACAACGGACAATTCACTTATGCTTCAACATTCCTCTCACGTAGAGGCTTCCTTAGTCCTCGGACATTTGGAAAGGAACGAGAAACACTTATTTTATTCAATCGCACTAGCTAGGTCTCAGTTATTTGAAAAGTAATGAACTAGTTCTATCATATTCTCACTCCTTACGTTTTTGTTTGGTTTGTGGTATAGAATTAGTTGGTCCATCACCAACTCCCTCGTAAGCTAAAAATTAGTACAAACATGAGAAATGGAGTCTTCTCACCAAATTAGTATAAACTCATGATGCACCACCTCATCATAATGTGGCGGTTCCTCAAAACAAACATCTTATTACTTTTTACATATGCGTTTCTTCTCCGACAATCAACAAGTATTCGAAGGACCATATATGTTTCTTACAAATGCGTTTCTTCTCCGAGAATGAGCAAATATTTGAAGGACCGTGCATCTTTCTGAGAAGACACCAAAGATAATGCCTTTTGTCTTTCCCTTTGATGCTATATTCAGGACCAAGCAAAAGCTTGACTTTCTTCGCTCGCTCCACATTGCGCGAACCTGGCCGAAGCTTTATTCGGATTGATTTAATTTAATGAATCAATATATATATTTACCATGATGAATTTAAATATCTTTACCATGAAGATTGATTGGTAGTGACCGAAAGATAAAGACTATCGCTACTATCGGATATGCTTGGTGACCGAAAGCATAACACTCATGGCAAAGTTCCAAGGTATACTGATGGTTTGCTTTGTGATATTATGGGATAAATCTTTATTCAGAATTTAGGCCCTCTTGCTCATCTTCTTACTACATTTATACAGTTACTCCATGTTTTTGTGTGACTTTGTATCGGTGTTTTGTGGACCCACTAGTGAATTTATACGTGCGTCGCGTTGCTATAGGAAAATGATGGTAGCACTCAAAGACACGAAGAGTTATACTGGTTCAGGTCGGAGCCCTACGTCCAGTCTCAGAGATGATTCGAGTTCGTGTTCCTTGGTTGAATGCTCTGAAGTTCTTACAATGGGGTGTGTAAGCTAAGGGAAAGAGGTAGGAGTGAGGTGAACGAGAGCCCGAATGGTGTTCTCAGGTCTTGTCCCATTGGAATGGTGGCTTGGCTCCCCTTATATAGAGTGCGGGGGCCAGGTTACATGTGGAGAGAGGGGTTCTCTCGACCGAGTGGTTGTGAGCCTAAGGGAGGGAGAAATAAGTAAACTTGGCCTACAAGCAACCCTGTCTTGTCCTGGCATTATGGTAGGTTCTGGTATGGTCGTCGTCATGATCTTGTTCGCACGTCGTGGCGTGGAGTGATGCTACAGTGCCAGCCCACAGCTACACTGTTGGAATGGAGGCGGTTCGCCAACTGTCCTGGGCGACGCGATCTTGCCGTGGCCTTCGTCGTTGTCTTCTGTTCTTCTGGTGGCGTCGTGGCAACAGTGCGGGAGAAGGTAGCCGCTCCTGGGTCGTCGGTTGCCTTTGCAGGTCGTGATGCCGATGGCCTGGACCCCAGATTATTAGGTCGAGCTTCTGGTGTCCTGGCCGGTCATGAAAGTTATGGCCGGGGACGTGCGCCCCTTCCCATAGTGGGTGGAGCCGTATGCCCGTCTTCTTGGGCTGGATTTAGACGGTGCGGTGTTGTACAAGTCATCACCACCCCGCGGTGTTGTCTTGTCTGCGCAGAGATGGCGTCTGCCCCGAGATGACTGTCCCCTCAGTCCTGGCGCAGTGAGGGGAGCGTGCCTATCCTTGTTAGGTCAGGTGTACTTGATGGCACCCGACCCCTTTTCATCTCTCCCAGGGGTCGAGATGGAGGAGAGGTCTGCGCTGCTGCATCACGTGCAGCGGAAGGAGAGGTGAGAGGTCGTGGTGGACCACTTGCTCTGGCGTGTGTCCTAGGGCCCGTGTGGCTTTGTTTGGCCGTGGCGGTTAGGTTCTTGTTGGCTGGGCTGCCCGAGTGGCTAACTTATCGGTGTCTTGAAATACCCGGGGTATCATGAACCCGACACTTGGTAGCGCTCGCACGACAACTCCAGCTCCAGCAGCAGTGAAGGAAGAGCAAAGCGAGCGAGCACGAGGAGGAGGCGCAGACCATGGAAAGGGGCACCACCATGGCCATGGAGGAGGAGCACCACAGATCTTGGTGAACGCGGCGACGACGGGATGGATCTTGGCGAGTGCAAGAAAGAAAGGTGGCGGACGAGGGGAAGAAGGGCGGCTCAGCTTGAGGAAGAGCGTGGCAGGAGAAGGGCTGGGGACAGCGGGGGAGGCGGCGAGAGGAGGGCAGGGGAGGCGGAGCGGAAGCAGAGCGTGGGGAGCGGGTTTTTTGTGTTCCCCACACGCATTGCAAAACAAGAGGAGTTGTGGGAGCGATTACGAAGGGGGAAGTGGGGAGCGGAGGCATTTGGCAACGCTCCTCGGCTTGTCACGTGGAGCGGTAGGAGCGCTACCAAACAGGCTCCTAGATAGCTATGTATAGGTTTATTTGAGTAAAGTTTTAGTTGGAGTTTGGATGACTTGGTTAGATTATATATATATATATATATAAATACAATCCTGTTGAAGCTGGCTACAAAATAACTTATTCTGTAGCCACTTTGAGTTACGATAATTAGTATGTTAATTTACGAGATTATAGTAACTCCTTATTAAGTGGTTTACTATAACGTTATGGTAAATATCCCTATGATAAATAACGTTATGGTTTACTATAACGTTATGGTAAATTAGTATATAAAATTATCGTAAATGAAGGTGGCTACAAAATAACTTATTTTGTAGCCGGCTACTGAATAGCCTCTATATATATATATATATATATATATATATATATATATATATATATATATATATATATATATATATATATATGCCTTAGCTTCAAATAACTTTTCTTTGGAATCTATATAGATATATACCTATTTTGTGTCGCGGAATAATTCGTGTCCTATGCAATCCAATTGATAAATTTCTTTGATTTTCTTAATTTGAGTTGTTTTTTTGTTGTTGTTGTTCTTGATATAAACTCTTTTAATCCAAGCCACATTCTGACTGGGTCCACTTAATTAGATTTTTCTTATTTCTCTTGCTTAACATATATGTACAAGAATTTTCTCAAAGGGCCTAATGAAATGTAGATTTTCCGTTTGACACAGCATAATCTTCTCATATATAGCTAGTGCCCACTTGGATATTCATACAGATAGATGTACAGTTACAGATTACTTAGCTTCTTACAAATGCATTTAATTTCTTCTCTGGCAAGCAACGAATATTGGAAGGACGATGTATGTATCTTCTCTGGCAAGCAACGAATGCCTCTTTTGTGTTTCCCTGGATGCTTTCTTCGAAACAAAAGGCAAAAGAGAGTGCGCTTCCACGGCTTCACACTGCGGGAACCTGGCCAAATTACTGGCTGAGATAGTGCGCTTGCGACTTGTAACTGCCGGCCAGTTGCTTTGCTTGTAGGTTGATGGCAGCGTGCAAGACTAACCAGGGGGTCATGTACATGTAATTGATATTTTTCATTTGCAGGGCTACCATGATCATCAGCTGACTTCTAAATTAAAACGAATGTTAACACATAAATATTTCGATTCTCACATGGAGTGTTTAGCATATTAATTAACACATGCAATAGAACTTGTGTGTACTTACAGTTTCTTGTATATTTTCTTCTCCAAATTAAAATTCGTGCATCACAACTATTTATTAAAGCCTACGCAGTCACCCGTTGTAAGAAAAGACGATGTTACGAAAGCTGATGTCATTGTCTGTCACCGGGCCATGATTTAAAGGGTGTGCTCGTTTGTCCTTCCACGCTACCTTCTTCAGTAAGCATAAGAGCTAGTCGATTGACTTATGATGCGTTGGGTTGAGGAGCGGACTGGGATGGAACCGATCCATCCCGCTTTCATGGATGTTTGGTTGCGAAACGAGTAGAATGGAGCGGTTCCTGAGAGGAAATATTCAAGCAAGATTCGGGATTTGCTCGCTCTCTCAAATTGGCCAAACGTGCTCGTCCCACCGAGAGGCCGTCTCGCTCTGTCTGTCTCTCTCACGCTCACCTCCATGCGAGCAGGGCAGGCCGGCGTGGCTAGGTGGCGGCGCGAGCAGGGTAGAGGCAGCACTAGTGGGGCGGGGTGGCGCAGCTAGGCGGCGGCGTGAGTAGGACGGCGCCCGAGCAGGGCTGAGGGTGCGGCTAGGCAGCGGGAATGGCTGCAGGCGGCTGAGTCGGGCCAAGGGGCAGACGCACTACTATAGGCCGCATTTGTTGAGGTGGTTGGGCC